GTTTCACCGACGTGTCGTCGACGAGCTCCTCGATAGATTGACTAGAGCCAAGAAACGACCATCTCCACGCATGATTGCGATTTAGTTACGTTGCACGGTCGTTAGGATCTCTCACTGAATCCCAGGTTCGCGTGGAATCAGTACAGGAGGCAAATCGAGCAGCGTCGAGGGGTGAATCTTGGCTCTCGTTGAACGAGGCAAGTGATCTCTCGGCAACAACGTTTTCACGCTCGATTTCGCTTCCCGTTTCGCTCTCCTGATTTCACGCGTTCGCCCCGTTTAAGATAACTGCATGGTGATCAAATCGCGCGCGAGTAACTGGATTCGACCGACATCGTAACCGATAACGATCGTCTCCTCTAACGAACCGGTCAAAGTCTTGCCCGCACAGTTGATCTTCAAATGGTCACAGTGGGCTAAATTTGTTAGAGCAGTATAGTTGATACGATAATTGAAAGTTCCTAATCCTTGTACCAACGCTAGAAACCGATGCTCGTGATCGGTCGAATCCTCGTATCTCGCGACAACGACCGCGGCGTCGATCCCGTCGTGTCCAATCGCTCTCTCGACAGAAAACGCAGCTTACCGGGGCCCTCGATACCCTAACGTAGCTAGACTAAAAGTTAAATCACGCGCATTGGCACGCACTATTTGGTACGTTTCGTTTTGAGACTTCTTACACATATTTCTCCTTTTTGGTTTCCGGTATAAATATTTTATCGCTAAAGTCACAGAGCACAATTAGCTCATCACCCGTCTCGCTGATGACGCCTCGACTACTCGTAAATCGAACGCGTTTAGAAGCGTCGACGCTCGCCTGACACTTGAAAAGATTAAAGATCAAACTGTTTAAGATCGCTAACAAGTAGCATCGCTGCCACTCAAGACTCGTTTCTAGAGTATCGACATTTTGTCACATCGGTATGAATTATGGTGGTCCACATAAGCGACACCAACGGTACAAAACACTCAATACTCCGAAGAGAATATCTGAACTCTCCTACGAGGTCTAAAAGATGTCTGGAAGTTATCTCGGAGATGCCTTTTAAATGTTCGTATCGTTCAAGCATCGTTCCAACATTTGAGAGCGCATCTTTCTTCAAGTACCAGACGAGCACAAGTATCGACGCCCGATATTTTCGAGCGATTCGCTTCAAATGCGTTCGTTAGCCCTCGATACATCATGCAAGTCACGTTCGCGCTTCTCATCCACGTTTTCGTCAGGCAATCAATTGTCGTCTTTTTCCTCCAAGGACCTTTGTACTGATCCGATTACTATCGGACGACAAAACGGGCTCGCAATCTCGAGCGATCGACCTCTCGTCACCCGACCTAACATATACGTTTATTCCTCTGCACTAACGCCCTTTCATCATCTCCCTTTCTGACGAGATAGCAATCAGAGTAATCGCAACGTAACGATGCTCGTCATCGGTGGCTCGTTTTTTTCTCTCTCTCTCTCGTCGGCGTCTCTCCCAACGGTCCCCGTGTAATAAAATATAACTTATGCGAGATAGCGCCGAGTACAGTACGATTATGCGCAACGAGATTCTTACTTGCCTGTCCCGGAACACGTTACGCACGTGCTGTTGGTGCACGCGCCTAAATGTGAGGTCCCATTTGTGTGCATGCTCTCGTACACCTTCCCTCGCCCCGCCCTCCCTTTCCGTGCACTGAACTTAACCACCAGTATTGTCGGTACGCCCCGGTAGGAAAAGAAAACGAAAAGGAAGAAAAACGAAGCACTTAGAAAAATACACTCTTAGGATCTTCCCGCGAATTGCCGCAGCGCGTTTACGCGTGTGCGCAGGATGTCCCAGAAATTGTGTACGTACACACAGGTACGTGCCGTATGTGTGTCCCTGCTCGAACGCATGGAGCGTCCACCGTGAAAATCTTGAATCACCGCCAAGTAATTTGTCGACAATTATTTTTAATCGCAAGACGTCTCGCTATTTCGCACAATTTTTTTTTTCCTCGGGACACCGCGAACAAGACGTCGCGAATTATCCCGTGAGTAGAAATTGCGTGATGACTTTTCATCTCCCTAATATTCTCATCGGGAAATTTCGCGGAGCGAACGGATAATTCAAAGTCGCGAGGATTTCAAGGATTCGACACGTTCTGTATATATTCGGAATTCGTGTACGTGTGCGACGATAAAAGTATACTATACATATACATGACAGTCTGCGACGATCGTTAACGAAGGAAACAGGTTTCTCCACCGTGAAAAATAATTTATGCGTATGTGTATGTGCGTATGGATCGACATTTGTGACTATAATTTTATGTGCCTAGGAATATCCCGTGTGCGTGGTCGTCGTATTAATTGCATGACGCATAGAAATGACGATAAAGTAAAAATAGAGGGATCTAACCGTTACGTTACGAGAAGTAATCAACTGAGCTTGGAGACACTTCGCGATGTCGATGCCGTTTGCTCTCTTATAAAATTGTCACGGTTGCCCTTCAGCCGCTCTCCGCTTATCAAAATGCAAATCTGGAAAACGCTGTCGGTGCTCTCTCGAGAGATACGTACGATCGCGTGTGCGAATTTGTTCCTCGATGAAAGGAGAGACGTAAGAGAATATATGAACGTGTATATGTGTATATATAAACCGAACTCCGAGTGCGCTTAGTAAAATCTGTGTGTGAAAATTGTGGGAAAAGGATTTCGACTCGTGTGCGTGGCGCGCACGCATGACTCTTCTCTCCCTTCCTCTACGTGGAGCGTCATGGAATGCTCGAGCGTTTCTGCAGCGAAACGAGAACGAAGCCGAAGATCAGATCGGATATAAAAGATGCTCGAGCCTCGACGACCTTTAACGTCGACAGCCAGCTTCGATCGAACGGTCCGCGACCCTCTCAATTTTGTACAGAACTCGCGTTCTCATCACCGACGATCAGATGCAAGCACGAATAATTAAGATCCTATTTCTCCGGCACGTAAGATCGTAACATCGCTCGCAGGAAACAAGTGCAAACCAATCGAAGTACAATATTTTGACGGATTCATACTGGTTTTCCGCGAAAACGACATTCTGCCGCATCCGAGGATTGGCCCGCCGCGCCGTTCTCGTTCATAGAGCACGCGTTCTCTTTCGCAATCGATCGTTCCTCCTTCGCCAAGGAGCGTGCCGTTTCTCCGACCGACATCACGAACGATTGACGACGTCGGCTTCTCGGATTCGTTAGTATAAGACAAGACAAACTAAACGTTTCCGCTACGCTTCTGCACAGCGTTGATAACGAAAGGGGTCGTCTTTCTCTCTCCTTTTCTCCACCCTCTCTATCTCTCTTTCTCGCGTCGGAGTGGAACCGAGACGAGCCACGAACTCATTGAAGAACATCGTCCGACCAGCCATGTCGCGGGTAACGTTTTCCTCCTCCGTTTGCGCTTAACGTAGAATACAGAATTAGCCTAGTAGAGACCGCAGCCGCGCAGATTATTGGCGATAATGACGTCTGTGACTGCGTCGAACACAAATTGAATGTTGTTCGTGTCGGTGGCACAGGTCATGTGGCAGTAAATCTCCTTCGTGGTCGACTTATTCTTCGCTTCGAACTGTGCCTGGATGTATGCAGCCGCTTCGCTGTACTCCTGCGCACCTACGGTGAGCAATTCAACGTCTCGTTAGCTACCTTTGGCGTAAGATAAACGAAAAGACGACGTATTCTGATATTATTTACCAGCGTATTCGGGAAAACAGATTGTAAGAGGAGACTTGCGGATTTTCTCCTCGAAGAGATCCTTCTTGTTCAGGAAGAGGATAATCGAGGTGTCGGTAAACCACTTGTTGTTGCAGATCGAGTCGAACAGCTTTAAACTCTCTTGCATTCGGTTCTGTAAAACGTCAAAAGCATTACAATCTCGCTCATTTACACAAGATATTTGCGTACAATTTCCGCGGATAAACATTTACAGGCTTCATATTCTCGTCATTTTCTCTTTTTCGCGAAATACGATAATTAAATCGATTAAGCGCGGAGTGACATGATCAAGAGAGATACGCTTATGTAATAATTACATCGGTATAAATAATTACATCGCCCGAATAGTTCAAGCTCATGATTTATAAGACTCGCTCTCTAAACGTGATCGATATTGTGATTTAAAGCGATACTTGTTCATGGCGGACGTGGTTCACTTGCTGCCGCGCATAATCCGTATAGGCTACGATGGACCGGCGATACAGGTCACGAGACATACACCGTAATGACAATTAACAGTGGTAGGACGACGACACGCGTGTGTCACTACCGCACGCGAACGGAGAGTTCAACGGAACCTTCCCACGTGCAGCGACCCCGGCAATTGAACCCTTGATTCCTCGGAGCTTCAGTTACGTGTACTCCCCGTCGCATTCCCAATTTGGACGTGATACTCTTCTAACGGATCGCACGCCGTACGTTCAACCTTGTATCAACCGTGCCCAATGTCGATTATCTCGCATTCTTAATGTAACCGCATGAACGCGCGCATTTGTACTAGTCGAACGCAATGAAAAGAGAAACCGTTTGATCTCTATCACATATCTCGTGCATTGAAAAACGTGACATGTTAGCTATAACGGAAACATTGCAAGAATATTCCTGGATCTTTTAAATTTTATTATATTAATGCGGCACATAAAAAGAAATATTAATGATTTTTTAAAAAATTAATGATTTTTTTCGCAAGATATAACACTGTTTTTTTTTATAATACATAAAACATATTACTTTAAAATCATGAAAAGAGCTTATTTGCTTATTATATCAGAAATTCATGATCGAGTTTAGATCAGTTGTTCAGAATTCAATACACTTTAAATTCGTAGTGTCAAATTATACTCAATTTAAGTCATTTTTAATTTTCCTATAAGTCACCACTGCTTCTACTTAATATATCGTTAATTTAACAATGTTAATTTAACTAAGCCAATAGAGTTAAAATAATACTGTTTTGTGTTAAAATAATAAATTTCGACACACATGGCAGTTAAAAAACACATGGTAGTTAAAAATAACAAAATATTATTTAAGTCAAAGTATTAGTTTAAATTTCATCCTTTAATATCTAACAATGTATGGTGAATGTATGTTGAAAAGGATAAATTAGCATTGTTTACCGTCGTTTCGTCCTCGTGCAAGACCTGATCGTATTCGGACATTGCCACGCAGAAAATAATTGCAGTTACATCCTCGAAGCAATGTATCCATTTTTTACGCTCGCTCCTCTGACCACCCACGTCAAATAATCTAGAAAAACAAGACAAAGTTAAAAATAATCGATTTCATCGTTTTATTCTCCGAATCTTTAGTTTGATTATTTAATTCCCTGCACGTAACATCGGGTCATCATTAGGAAATAATCTCGATAAATAAAACATCAATGTCCACGTCTGCAATCGTGACAAGCTTATGCACTGTTTCGATGCGTAATGTCTCGTCTAATTAGTTCTTAATCGGCACTCGATATCGCTGAAAGGCTAGTACGGTTGATTTAACAGGGCCATGCATAATTATCCCGACACGCGTTTCAACCGCTAACAACGCTAATTTTCGATTCCGCCCGACAAACGGGGAGAAGTATTGGCCGCACATACGACTCATCGCTCAGCTTCGTTCCAAGCAAACGCTCGAATTATCACGGTAATGACTCACGCGTCGGCCATTCATAACGAGGTAGCCGCCTCGCATCTCCCGAACGCCGCGCTCGCCTCGCGAGATTACACAAATGAGTCGGCATAAATGAAGCAAGAACGATTGATATCGTTCACACGCAGAACGATCCTAATTAAACTCGCAAATTTATTACAATATATAATTCATCTTTCTATTTTAATCTATGTCTCATATGATATCAAATAAAATCTCGACTCACTTGAAATTGAGGTTTTTGAATGAGAAGTGAACTTCCACGATTCCCGTCGTTTTCACTCGGGTCCTGAGAATATCCTGTTCCGTTGGCTGGTATTCCTTCGCTCCTAATCGATCCAAGTCGTCCAGGAAGCTGTAAAGAACGACGGATTTGTAAAAAGCTTTGCAGAGGTGTAACTCTGTTATACATTGATTGATATGCATGTTTTATATACTTCGACAATATTGTTGCAAATTAATTATCTCGTACACAATTTGTTCTTGCATTAATCGTTCTGACTTGTTTTTAAAGCAACAAAATAACTTTTCTCTTAAATCAACTCCAGTTTATCCATTTCTACAATTACGGTTTTCCCACGTGCAAACGTTATCACCTGCGGTTTCGAGTCTCGACTAAATTGTAAGGACCACAAATTCTTGACCGGCCACTACCGTTTAATTAACAATAAATGCGCATCTATTTATACAACAAATCCAGATTCGATTCCGAGCGGTGAGGAGCGTTTGAGGTGGGAGCTAGGGCGCGGCTCGCAACAAGTAGCTAGAAGCGAGCGGATATAATAAATGGCGTTACTGTAATCAGGTCTTCGTAAACTGCCGTGCGAACTGGCCGCCGCACGAGGAAACGCTTCCGCCGGTGCAAGTACCTTTGAAGTTTCTCGCCGATCGTTTGCGAAACCGGCACCATTCACGGTACTCGCAATTCAACGTCGATGATAAATCGAAACTAATTATTTTTTTCTGAGATATCATTTTAGTACACAGTGTCACTTGGCAGAATTAACAATGTTCAAATGAATAATGGAAAAAAAATTTATGAAACATTTGAATCATTATCTTTATTGCAAATTGCATGGTTAAACGAATTAGTTCCATTAGCAGCTTAATACAAGCGTATATTTCTTGATGTTGAGTGCAGGTGTTAAATATTGAATGATAGATGCATATTGAATAATAAATATTTAGCAATGACAGTATTATAATAATGCTAAGAATAATGATTATTGTTTCTCAAAGCAAAATCGTCGAGTGAAGACGATTGATGTCACTTCAAAGATAATAATTTTCTCGTATCGGCAATTATAGGATCACCGAACATTTTTCAAGAAGCAAAAAGGGGAAGTAAAAGGTTAGGTAAAACCACGCAGCGCCATCTTTTTAGGCCTCTGCTTACAGCGTTTAGGGGTTGCAAGATGAGGGTTGCGAGATTCTCCTTCTGGCTTCCGTAATGAGAAAAAAGGGATGAGATGAGAAAGGGGAGTAATCGGAAGCTGATGAAGAGGACTGGTGATGGATGAATTTCTGACGAAGAAGAAAGAAAGAGAGAAAGAAAAATGCGAAAAGTAATATAGTAAAATGATGTGAGAGAATAGAAGATGGAATGAAAGGGTTCAGAGAATATGAAGGAACGAGAGAGAGAGAGAGAGAGGGGGGGGAGGGGGGAGTGCGCAGGAAATGGAAGCAAAGATCGAAGCACGAGGGAATCAGGCCGCCATGAAGGATTCGGCGATTCGGGACACGCCAAAGCCGAGACGAGCGAGCGAGTCCTGGTAATATCTCCCTCGGGAAAGAAGGAGCTTAGATTTTTCCGTCAGGAGGGAAGAAAGGAGGAACGGAGAGAGGGACAGACGTGAATAAACCAGGCAGAAAATAGGAGAGAAGGTGGTAGTTTCGCCGGAACCCGATCGGCCATCTTGGTCGTATGCCACGTGACACGGGCGTGGCGTGACGTCATCTGCGATCAATAATGACGAGGTGCGCACGAGGGAAGAGGAAGAGAATCCCCCGAAGAAGGCGGCGAAGAGAAAAGAAGAGGGAAAAAAAAAGAGAGACGGAAGGAGAGACGGTTGGCGCGCATTTCTCGTAACATTTCGACTATCGGTGGCCACCTCTCTGTCGTATCATCATCCCACCCCTCCCCTATCCCTCCCTCTCGCGACCCCGCGTTCGGGCAAACCTGTCGCATCTCCCGCGGCAGGAGGACTCACCCCATCGCGACTTCTTCCACGGGAAATTCGCGTTACCCTCTTCCGGCCTGCCTCGCGAAACGAAATTCCCGCGGCGGTTCTCTGTACGCGGAATTCTCGGGGGTTATTCGAGAAAATCTCGTCCCTTCCCTCGGAATGCTCATTTTTCGGGGGGTGCGGAGGACCCACGTCTTCGCCTTTGACGAAGTCTTTGAACTGAACTGCGATTGAGTTCTCCCCTCAAGCCGGAATATCGTGCCTTGGGTATTATAAGCGAATTGAGAAAATAGGGAGATTTTCTTAATTAAGGAAAAAAAACACAAATTTCACGGAATTTGCTGTGATTTTACATCAATGAGTATTTCGTGTAATTTTCAACACGTGGCATTCGCAGCAGGCGGAGGCAAAATTTCTTCTTCGGCCAATCTCTTTTTTAATTCTCCGATATAAGATTTTCAAGATTAACGGTCCATCGTAGTACTGCTTTGTCTTATAATGCCCAACGGCGCTAATCTATTCGTGTAAATTTGATCTATTAATATCAGCACGGTCTTTATGTGTTCTATGTTCTATATATAGATATCGTGGGTGGTTAAGCACAATCTTTTGTTCCATCATAAACACATTTCTGAGCGAATCGAACGCGAATAATTAATATAATTGTCGGAAAGCGTTTTGCATTTTTTTGCAATTTCAGTTGCGAATATCATTCGCTTTCATCGAAAAGGCGTCGACTTGTTCGTTATACACAATTATTAAGGGCGGTATAGGGTCTCAGTGAATTATACATTAAGCGACGGCGAGGGAAAGAGAGGGTGAAGAAAAAGAGGGAGAGGGAGGGAGAAAAAGAGAGTATAGTTGCGTGTGCAATAACTGTGCTATAAGCGATATCGTGCAGCCTAGTGCGAAACCGCAGTGCGGTTTATTGAAGCTAAGAACGGCGCCAGAAAACGGCGTGTGTCCGTGGCGTAGAGAGAGAGAAAAAAAAAGACTCTCGTATTGCGTGCAGACGACAGAACGTGTACGCCCTAATCGGATCTAATAGTCAGCGACAGGACTTCACAACAGTGGCCACACGACGACGGCGACGTGGCATACATAACATACTACCCCGGCGAAATTGGTCGCGCGATTAAATCTTTCGCGACCAACTTGTTTATACAAGTGCTTTGATTTCTCTCTTCGTGTCCAGGGAGGGGATGTTTCAGGAAGGGCAAGCGAAGCTCTTCCCTGTTTAAAATAATAGATACAATATGATCAGATTACATTATATACATTCAATTGCAATGTAAATTAATAAGGTTTTCATTCATTTACATTGAAATTGAATGTAATATAATGTAATCTGATCATATTGTATCTATTATTTTAAACAGGGTTCTGCTAAAATTATTTTGAGTTATGAAAAGGAGTTAAAATTAAGATAAGTAGAAATCTTGGAGAAAATAAATTTGATATGAAGAGTCTCTTTGTCTTTTCAATCTTGTGAATCCGTTGATTTTTAACATATATAACATAATATTGTTGTCGTAAAACTAAATCGTGGAGCAATTGCGTTTCCGCGAAAATAATTGCTCGCGGACAGTGTTGGAAAAACGAGTTTCCCCATTCTTTTTTTAATCGTGTTATTTGCGATCGGCTCGCCGAGTGTCGTGATTCAACTTTATCGAGAGGAATAGATCCGCAATCATTATTACACGCGCTCAAAGCATCCCGTAATAAAATAAAAAAAAAACGTATGCTTAGCGGAGATAACTGATGAAAGTATTGGAAAACGGCACTGCACCGAGATATACAAGCGTTACTACAAAATCAATATCCAGCGAAGGGGGCAGCGCGGAAATATGCTTGCGAAACGCACCCGAGAGGGAGAGGAGGGACGACAAGTCTCACGTTCAGGATGAGGTTTGCTTCTACTACTCTCCGCCCTTTCGAGCACGCGAATTCTCAAGAGTGAAATTCAAGTTCCGAATACCATCCCCCGTGAGGGTTGTGACGCGTGACCATTGCCCGCGGCGACTGCGATCGCAAAAATCACCGAGTCGAAATTTCGCGCAACTTAACAAAAGATTCTCGTTGATAAAAAAAAAATTCGATATAATGAAATAATTCCCGGTTAAATGATACAATTTAAACAAATTCGTAATTCGTAATTCGTCTCCTGGTATATATAATTTATAAAGCATCATCTCCGACTGGCAATTTTGCAGCGGAATTGAACAGACCGTTATATTTCGAGAATACAGTCATCGATTTCTTTTTTGCAGAAAAATTCATAAAATTTTAAGATTTAAGATCCTTTGAGGAATCGTTTTAGGAATGATCGCTACTTACTATTTCGCGGAGTCGTTCAACTGATACTCATTGCTCCTGCCAAAGCACTCCTGCACTCCATTATCGGACCACAGCCTCTTCATAGCCGCCAGCAGTTCTTCGCTAAAGGGTTCCGTGTCTTCCATTCTTTGTATTACGTCAAACACCATTTTTGCGTCCGTCTGCAAACACGCGAAACATGTAAATCCTCACACCACAAAAATCTCAAAGTTTACTTCGGCCCAGTCTTCGCCGAATGCATATTAATTCCGAGCTACAAATAATATCGTGACGTTAAATAATCCATTAATCGCTCGGTGCATTCGCAATATTCCCAATATCTAATCACTTGACGGGAATAATTAATCGAATTTTTTGCCGTGATATAATTTGCACAGGTGTCAATTTAATTTATGGCGTAAATTCAATATCATTTGCATAATTAATGCTACATAGCCGTAGGTTGAACCGTTCAGGGTATACAATTATTTTATAACTTATTAATTCGTGCGCGCACACATGTAAAGAGTTATAGATACCTATTGAGGAGAGCTGATCAATAATTAATTATTCGTACGATCTTGGGACACGCATCCGGCGGGTCAGATCGCCTTACTTACACGATCGCGCTTTAGACGGCTAATCAACCAGGCAACACGTTATGATTCGCCGTTGAATGCTTCATTCATTAGATAACCGTCGGCACGTTAGTAAACCACATTCTGGATGTCATGTCATGCTTCACGAGTTAAAATGGTCGATACACAACATTTAAATAACATACGAGATATATGCGACCGATACGCGACTGTTACTGGATCGTTTTCCATAATTTTGCAGTTGACACTTCATTGAAATTAAACATGCGTGGATATACCACGAGTACGGACGAGCAGCATAAAGGTGTCGCGTTAATAAATATACATCGGAAATAAAAAATTAAATCATCGACGATTTCTGCTCGTGCGACGATCTTTTTTCCGAACGGTCGGAAAAAATTCGCGCAGGATAACTGAAAAAAAACTGAAAATGTATCTCTTTTAGCAAGTAAATGCTATTGGCGTGATCGAACTGTGAAAGTATGAAGCGATTAAAACGAAACGATGCGTTCGATGAAACGCAGATGTATGTTAAACGTAATAGCCGGAAATTACCCCGAAGTTATTTTGAAGTAAACTCTAAGATGCGCGTGGTACACGACCGCGCGCGTTATAATTTCAGATTTATAGTTCGCGACGGGATGTTCTTCCCGACAACGGACTCCTATTTTCTTAAAGCATTCGAACAGACACAAATGAACATTACCTCTCGCTCGTTGGTTGAAAAGCTGATGCCGAGATTAGGCATTGCTCTGAGAATAGCGACTAGAGATTGTATCGTGTTACTGTATACGACGGGTCTGTACTGCTTGAAGTCTTCCGGCGTGAAGCCGCTCTCGTGGATAATTCTGAAAGCAGAATCGTACTCGCGTTAGCACGTCCGCGCGAGGGAGGCGAGACACCAGACACGCACGGGATGTCTCCTTTCCGTAAATATTAGGATAAGGGTGGTTAGTTTAAGACAACGTTTGCTTAAAAAATACTCGGAAAGGAGAGGAAAAAGGCCGCACACTTAAGACCAGGAGCAATTTTCTGAAAGAGAGGAATGCGTGTCGGAAGGCCGGGGGTTGGAGGGGAGACAGTGTGTAACATCGATATACCTGTATTTATTCGAGTACGATTCGAATGAATAGACGCGTGGATTATCCCACTTGATTTTAAGTGCCTGCGACTCTCTCGCAAGAAGTCTGCAGTCGCGCTGTAATATACGCGTGTCACGTGCGCAACGGCTCGAATTAATATACGCCACGTATAGTGCAACCCTGTGTAAACGCATATATGAATTGCAATGCGCGCTACATGTACTCCGTGACTTACATGAGCACCCATATACATATCGTAACAATGTTCGGAGTCAACACAGGTGAATTATAGAGTCGGCGGTGTGTGCTATGTATACAAGTGAAAACACACGGTGTAGTGTTACGTGGAATAGATCTATGTCCGTACCAGCGGCTAAGTATACTTTTCTATATATAATCACTCGCGAAAATATTCTGGATGTGATTTTTGTAAAAAAAAAAAGAAGAAAAAAAACACGTTAATTTGTATTCGTACATATTTATACGTACGAGAGAAACCGAAGGCTTTCAAAAGTTAATTAAACACTTATGTTCTAGCACTAATTAACTTTTCTTTGTCGTATAGGGCGACATCGTATATACATTTTACAGACACACGTTCGCGGAACTTTAGTAACTTCAAACGCGCGTGACGTATTATCCTCGATTTTTATTTCGTAGCGTAACAAAAGAACCGAGAGCATGCAATCCGGACGCTTTAATTAACGAATATTAATTGTAATTTGTGCAACAGCATTTCCTAATGTGATTCCCATCGTCCAAGCGCGACCGCCGTTACAATATTTAACGGCACATTAATCCCGACAAAGAATATCGTACTGTCCATTACGTTAATAAATGATACAGAAACAGAGTGTGGCGCGGCGTCCGCTGTTTCGAGAGTAACGATATTAACGAGAGCGCGCGGAGAGAGCCCGCTATGTGTATACGCATGCACGCATACGCCGCTAGATTTATGGCTGCTCGCACGCGAGAAGGAAAACGCGTAAGAGTGCGCGTGAAATCACGCTTCGCTCGTATGTACTTCAGTCTCGAGTACCGCGACTGTTCGTTGCATTATGCGCATCCATAAATTATGCAGTCGGTGTACGGGAGATGCGGTTGTATATCGTAAAGAATCGTTTCGAGAACATTACGAATTTATAGGTTTTTCCGTCACAACCGCGTAACGCGATACGATTTAAAATACACTCTACACCCATCCCTCTTTGACCCTCTTTTTCCCCCTAATATAATATTAATAAAATTCCATCATAGAGATATAATAATGTCCCTGAATCGTGGCCCACGGGAAATCTTCGGCGCTCTTATCCAATATTGGTTTCGTCCAATACCGGTTTTCAAAAAGAAAAAAGAGAAGAAATCTAATTAACTTTGAAGCAAAGTGCAAAAATACTGGGAATCGGGGAGGAAATATCGCTATCGAAATACGAGGAGCATCCCTATTCGCGACTGACAGCTTCCCTTCCGTTCTCGGGAGAGCACGCACAGCGGTAACTTTGTTCGTGGGACCTCTTGAACAGGCCCCATTCATGGCGCAGGTCACAGGAAGAGAGAGACTCGCCCCACAGAGAGAATATGCTAATCTACACGACAGAGGAAGAGAGTGAGAGAGAGAGAGAGAAAACTCGGTGCTAACATCTCGAACGAGCGCGTATCACGGAACAGCTGCTGCCCTCGGATACGCGCGAGCATATCGTAACATTGCGAGTATCGATCTCGCCGAGGCGAGGCAACAGTTTGCCTCGAAATAATGCCGATGCACGGACGCGAAAAGATTAATCTATTATTCGCACACGCGAGAGACGAGCACGCGTTATTATCCAACTGTTTCTGCTTGCTTTCAAGGTGCGCAATAATTCAGGAAATTGCGCATCTGCGCAAAGTGCGCAGCGTGAAGAGATCTGTCAGATATAAACGCGACATAAGATTTATTTTAATTAAAATATTAATGTCCTTTTGGTAATTTACTTAAATAGAATATAATAGATACAATGAATGAATGTGTCAAATCTATATGTGATAAAATTTTTCACGCGAATTTTTCTATCGGTAGTTTTGCACGATGTTGTTTTTTTTCTCAGCGTAGTTTTTTTATATATTTTTCTTTTAATGAAATGCTTTAATTGCAAGAATTTGGTTGGATTAGAAAGATTTGGATTGCAGTCGTCACGATTTAACGAGGTAGCAGAATTGCGAGCGAAAAATACCTACATTATAATGAAACATCTCAAACAATTTAATTCCCAAGCGAATAGGCGTGCGTTATGATTCAAGTCATTTAACTTTTAGTAAGCAAACCGAAATGTACCTAATTAGAGGTCTGACTCACTTCCGACCAGTTATTAAGCCACATCGTTTAAATTTAAGCAGCTGCGTTCTTGGACAGAATAAACCTCTCGTAAAAAAAAAAAACAATCGACTAAATCGAGAATTCGATCGCTATTAACGCTAAGAATAACAAAACTGAAGAGAACTGGGATTAAATTACTATTAATCACTATTAATAGTAATTTAGCTATATTATTAATTACTATTACCATTAAATTAACAATAGCAAAACATAATCGGAAATATAAGAAGGAAATAAGGATACATATTTTTATTCAGCATATATATTTTTATTATATGTTTTTGAAAAATAAATAAAGATGTATTTTTATGGTAAGTTAAAAGACGTAAAGATTCTAATTGTATACAAAAGATCATAAATTAAACAATGAAAAATATAGGCTCGCAGGACAGAATTCTTGAGAATTGAGGCAATCGCGGAGGTGAACTTTAAGATACAAAAATCTGGCAGTCCGTTCAAGAGTCCGTGCGCAGAAGAGAAACGTGGGAAAGTATTTCTCGTAATCAGCCTGCAGCTGACTGATGAGTGTCCACAAATTAGCATTTCCGCGACGTCACGAAACATCAAAGGACGCGAGCCTTACAGACGCCGCATTGTACCATTGTGTTCACGACCCGTTCTTGTCGCATTCTTCGTCTCATTTTCCAGTGGAAGAGCCGTTAAATTCTCGGATAACGAGTCGGTAACGCGAATTTCGCCTAATTACGCACGTACACGCACGAGCCGGGATGAATCATCCTCCTGACTGCCTGAACTATTATATATATATATCTGAGTTCATTTCCGTAATGTATGGAAAGTTGGGTGAGAAACCGGGTAGACGGGTCAAACCGGGTACCTTTGTTTCTTTGCGATAGGTTATCGCAATCTGTAATCAACTCGTAGTATTAATTGCAGATATGGCGCGATCGTCATTTTTAGACGTACTGTGCTCATGTGAACACGATATTTATTTCTCAAGAGAAGCCGAAAGTTTTCAGGCCGACAGAAATCGAGTAGTCGTGGACTTTTTCTATACAGAGCATCTGTTTCGGTAACTGCAGCATCGCAATCTGTACATATTAGAGAGTATATCGCACTAGTGTTGATCGACACTGTGTAAGCCGGAATGTACAGCCATTTATCAGCTTCTTCGTGTTGGGACAAAACCGGGTACAATCCGGGTGGGATAAAATCGGATACCCGTTTTTGCCTCAAACACCATAACAAGGAAAAAAAATAGTCGTCTTTATTTTTTCTTACAATAAATCCCAATCTGTGTCAGTTAGAGATGATGAGGTCCACTCTGTGACATCTAGATATGAGACACCCAGCCGTCGGCATTTGCAATTTTCCATAGCTCGCTGATTCCTCTTTCCCAAAAAGAAAATAGGATTCAGAAGAGAGACAATAAAAGAAGAGGAAAAACTGCTATCCTGACTTCGTCTCCTTACAAAAAAAAGTTGGAAATAGAGATTGCCATTCAGAAAAAGAAATCACTAAAAAAAAAGCTTTCTTAAACCCCTAAAGTTAAAAAATTAAGTTAAAAAAAAGCAGGAAGACAACTCATCCTTAAAAGAGAAAAAATATGAAGCTCGCATCTTTTGGAATGATTTATATTCAAGATCAACCGAGAGTTGGATACGACAATACATTGCATGCCAAGGTTGGGCCCATAAGTCCTGCAGCAATGTAGAGAAAGAGATATTTGATGTTTGCGATTTTTGTGTAAACCAAAATGAATAGAATACATTTGGTATTGTATTTGTTGATCAAAATAAATCAAGATTTTATAATTGCACAGTGTTTTACGTGCTTTTCAAATACCCGGTATCCGATTTTACCCTACACAGTAAAAAAATTTGTGTTAAATTCAACACATTTCACATATCCCAAACGGTTCACTCAAATTTTTGTGTTAATTTAACATAATGTGAATATGTAAACTTATGACACAAATATTATGTGCATAATTTAACACAAAACTAGACATCACAAGCGCGCGCTACGCGCACGCGCTATTTAACACTTTAATATATTTCACTGTTACTATTACACTATGCACTAAATATGCCACGACAGCCGCTCATAATACAACAATATTTCGGTAGATTTGATGACATGCCCTTTTTAGAAGAGGATAAAGGACAGTTCGATGATATGTGAACGAAAATTTCATGTATGTACAACAGATATCTGTATAATGTTAAATGTAAATGAAAAGAATTTTTTTTAACCAAACTCCATTATTTTTATGTTAATTTTACGATTAAATATAAAATGTGTTATTTTAGCATTTGATTTACTTAAATATGAATTTAACTAAATCAGGTAATATAGTCAAAATTAGTTGAATTAACACATAAATATGTTACATTTTTAATACAAAAATTCTAACAAGGATATTTTTTAACAAAAATACACAAAATATTTTACTGTGTACCGGTAAGGCAAAACCGGGTACTTTGACTTCTTTGAAAAGTCTTGTTATTCTCGATAACCAAATTTTTTTATCTCTCTTGATTAGAAGCAACTAGCCTCAGTTTCTCGTAGATTAAGGTTCACTAAAGACTACTAACGGTCAGTAGAATTTTTTTGCCCTCCGATTTTTCCCGCCGACCAAAAAGGTATCTGGTTTTACCCAACTTTTCCCTACAACACTTACCTGTAAACGCAATTTTTTGTCGTATTTTTTCGTAAACTCTAGGACTTTGTTTCTCGCGATCGTCAGAATAAACTTATTCAATCCAAAAGTTCAAGGCAGACATAAATTGGAAGCCGTTGCATAATTAACTCGTACTTGTAATTAATTTAATTGGTAATCGGGAACGGCCGGTGTGTGTTAGGGAATAAACAACATGTGCGGATGTAATCTCGCGCGCTACAATAATAGAATCCCCCTCCTTCGAAGCTGATAATTAGCGCACGTAGCACGAAGCTCTAAGACGATTATACTTACTTCATTTGTTTCACGATCGTACTCTTGCCGGACTCTCCTGCTCCTGAAAAGAAAAAAACAGAAGAGATTAATAGTTAATAATTGAAGAGCAATCGGTCTTTCACGATTGCATATCGCCGAATTACGTTGCAAAATGAACTCTGCGCGTTGGACAAAGGAAAGATAAGCCTCTTATTATCCGTTTAATTTCAGGCGGAATTTACTTTGGGACTCACAATTCCAGAATTATCTATTTTGTACGAAAATTAAAAAGTTGTGACAACTAAACTCTGTCGATTAAATTATCATCGAAGAGAAATCAGTTAAAAGTCTGTCAAAGAATACGTATTAAAATTCGATAGTCTTTGTAAGATAGGTTATCTCATATATTAACTTGTATATTGAATGAAAAAAATGTGCTTCTATCGCAGACATTAAATTATAATTCAATTTATTAAATATTTTTCGAAAGAAACGATCTCTCGTGCACATAACTAAAATCGGATCGACGAACGCATTAGGGCAGAGTCGCTATATAGTTATCGCGAAATATGCCGCTTTATATAACCGGATACGTCGACGTATCCGGAACTCGCTTTTCCTGCTTACCGCAAGCCTCCGCTCTCCCATTTTTTAAAAGCACTCTCGGCGTAAGTAGCCATCTATAATAGCTACTCAACGACTAGAGCCGTTTAGTATCAACTGAATACACGTGAGATCTCGAGTAAGAGCAGAGCGCCCTGTAAACGGCGGCCAGGAAGAAAGGAGTTCATCTCGAGACGCCGACGATGATCCTCGTCCCGCTCTCGCCGAGGTAAAACACCGAACAGAGCTAAACGGGTTGCAAATCTGCATATCTAGAGCTCGCCGAGATATCGTGCTTCGCCATTGTGACTCCTCCCCAAGCTTCTATTTTACTCCGGTAAAGCAGTCGGCTTTTAGCATCCGGTAAAATAGGCGCTACGTCCCAATGGAATGAGATAGAATAAACCTAAGCTCATCTCTATTTACTTTAGATAAGCCCGAGAGCTCTCCGCGGGGTAACTCCTATTAGATTCCGTGTTAACTTTCGTAACTCCAGTTAGATTCACCTGTGCTACGCCACCTGGTAAACTTCCGCGAGCGCTTATTATTCATACGACGGTTTGTTATACCGTTTTAGTGTATGATTTAGAGCCAGATCGCGTTTACTATCACGCCGCGGTAAGATTTGGCACCTGTCAGCTGCGTTTACCACCGCGTTGAGATTCTGTCGAAACCTCGGAACCGCTAGCGATCCGGTTTGTCTAACGAATCCGGTCCAGAAACGCATCACTTCCTGCAGCTGGCGTTCTCGCGTTGCGTTTTTATTCACCTGTTCTATTCACGGAAGGCTCGCAGGTTGTGAGGGCGGCTTTATCCATCGCAAACGCGATAAAAATGTGCGGAGATAATTCAGATAAATTTAAGTGCTCACGCGGAGCGACGGGAAACGAGAAATTGTTTGCATTTCATTGACGCTATTATACATCAGTTTAGTGTGGAATCAACCGTGCGTAGGAATATTCATGAAAAATTCATGTAAGAGAAAATTTATGCCAGGCTTTATATAAACATAAATAATACAAAGGCCAGGAAATTCTATGAATTCGCATAAATATATCGAAATATATTTTATTCAGATTTAATATAAATTTTATTTATAAAATATCACGCGAAGAAAAATTTTAATAAATTTCCATACGTCGAAGATCGATTGAATATTATTTTTACTCATTATCGGTTGTTAATAACGTAAATGATATATTTTAATCATTTACATAAATCTACTAAATTAAAAAAAAGAATTTTCTTTTCATACATTCTTCATTTTGGGTAATTTGGAAGTAATATTAAAAAATAAGAAGATATTTTATTCTTCTCATTTTTTTTTTAAATAAAACTGGTCTTTTTCATTATATCGTAAATCACAGCAAATTCTACGTAATTTTATATGTACATATGTTATAACATTGTGTCGAAAAGTGAAATATTAATCATAATGTAATTAAATATTGAATGCGTTTAGCACACGGAAAAACACTCCATCATTGTTATAATATACAGGCTGCAATAAATTGTATTTTATTACGCTGCCCTTCTATAACATTTTGGCCGGATTCACGCGCAAACATATCGTGCCCTTTGCTATTTGACATCGGTACACGTAGTATGCAAGCGACCTGTTTTTAAAGTATGCTTAACTATGTTTGCAAAATTTTTCAAGAACTCCCGAAGTAAACTGTTTATATAAATTGAGGTTCTTTTATAAGCCTCTTATATATTCGTGACGCAACGCTTGTACAAAATAATTAAAAAATTGAGATACGGTATATATTTTTTTTCTCTGTAAATTTTTATAATTAAGGACGTTCTCTCGTCCTTATACTAGAGAAAATCGATTTTCTTAGGATTTTCTTGAAACTGTGAAAATCGAAAATCGATTTTCTCTAGTATAAGGACGAGAGAACGGCCTTAATTGCTGTGTTGAAATCTTAGGCTCAATTCAAGTAGCGATATCGAGATAAGAAAATTGTCCGGATAAAGTTCCCTTTCTTTCGCGTTCCCAATTTAAGCAGAAAAATTTCGACAACAATAATAGAATAATAGATTAGATAAATAATAGCAACAAAAATTTAAAATCTTCAGAAAGGTATTGGCATGCTTAAAAGCAGAGTTTAGATTGGCATTTGTTCTCTTTTCGCATTTTTAACGCTCCGTCCACCGACACGCTGTACGCTGCGACAAAGAAGGCATCTCAAGTCGCCGACATTTAACGCCATAGAGCCGCCCTGCGTCGCTTTGAAATATACGCAACGTGCGTTTGTATTTCGCAGCCGAGGCACCATTAATCGGATGAAAATACTCGCGGCGGCCAATTTGCGCGCGTACATACGCACGCACGTTCCGCCGTCGGAATGACGTCACTGGTTACACCAATAAACAGGACCCATATTTCGCTAGAAAACGTGTATGTTCCACGGTGCCCGCACGTCGCGTTTTGAGCTAACGCAGAATGCGATTTGTCGGACGCGCGCGGTATGTCCTCGGGAGACAAACATCGTTAAAAATGGAGAAGCCTTCGGCGAATTAAACTCGTATAATTAAACGAGAAAATTTCATTTACCAAGTTAAGGTCAAAACAACTCTACTTCCATAGAATATTGATACACAAGTTGCAATTATCGAGATATTGAATATTAAAAATTGCGAGGCAGGCCCGAAAATCGAGATCAACAATTTCCTCGAACACCGGGGGTATATCCCGTCGCGAGATGGAAAACGAGAAAAGGCGAGGGAGTAAATTGAAAACGTGCAATTAGTGACGCTGACAGATAAACGGAGACAATACGCCGGTGCATTTTATGCCCACCCCCGCACTGATTTCGCCTCTAATTATAGCGCGAGGCCGCGGCAAAGGATTTTTCATTAAGACTTCGGAATCGGAGGCGCAAGTAGCACGATAATATCTATACAAAACGTAATTAAAATTTGACAGAAAGCAATTAAACGCTATAAGCGTTTGCCTCATTAATATCGATGCGAAAACAACGCGACAAAATGGGTGCATAATTTATCGACGCGTAATAATATATTCGTAAACAGGCTACGATCATGAATGAACCTCAAGTCCTGTATAACTATATCTATTTACTTATGAGTACGTTTCGCAACGCTTCCTCGCACGAGCTCGCCAGATATATATGATTCACCATGATGCATCTCGGCATCATTAGTAATCGGTCCTAATCTTATCTTATTCTAATCTTAGGACGTGAATGGAACGAACGATTTGTCCCGATTGACATTCTAATCTTCGAAATGCTTGTACGTACTATAGCTTCTGTAATTATTCATGATATTCTTTCTTAGGAACAAAAGCTCGTTATAAATACAGTAACTCCGTACATCTGTGCCGATGACACATTTATAACGTACATTTGCTCTCAAACTGTGTCCGAAACGCTTTTTCGTCTAAAAAAAAAAAAAGAAAAAAATTCATTAGGTGGGAAACCAGAAATAAATATGTCCCTGATGTGAGAGATGTGGCTCGACTGAACGAATGTATAAAATGCCGTTGGAAACCGCGTTCCCAAATTATCCCTCGTGTCGTCCGTGCGCTTCTAGCTTGAAAAAAAAAAAAATATATCTGGCGATAGACTTTCCCTGTCGACTGAAAATTTCATGGCTCTCATGTCCCGCAGCCCGAGGGACGTTGACACGTGGCAACAGTATGTGTCCTGGCAAATATCGGATCTCCCGACGTCAGGTCCCCCTTCTCCCCGACAGATAGCCCCGAATGCATACGGGGGGGGGGAGGGGGGCAGGAAAGAGAGAAAAAAGCCCGCTATCTGATTTATTTTTCCAGCTCTGTCTCCAGCGGATCGCGGCGTCGCGCGGCGTCGCGCGTCGCCGCCGTCTATTTCGGTGGAAATATTTTTGGCGCGCGAGATTCATTACATATCATTTGCGTGTCCCCCGTCACATTTCGGGTTTTTTTTTTTTTTTTTAAATCGAGAAGTTTTCTCTCTCGACCCAGCGCGCGATTGGCAAGCAAACGAGGAGGACGCCGCTGTCGCGCGCGTCATCTCGGCCGCGTCCCAAAGCGTTGACGTCACCGATGATGAAACGCCGACGTCAGATGATATCTGATGTCGACGCCGGCAATTATGCGCCTCGAAGCGTTCCGGCGCGCACTGAAAGAACTGACGTCGGATGAACGATCGGGCATTACCCTTCCGCAATAAGGAGGAACACGCTTGTTGCGCCGTTCTTCCGGCTTTACGTCGCGTCCAATTTCCTGCATGCCCGGTCGATTTAAAAAGCCGGCCGGCGCGGCGCTCCATTCGCGCGTCGAACGCGTGCGGGCGTCGAGACGAAATCGTCTCTTTAATCCTTTAAGCCGAGATAAACTTAGAAGAAAGCCTCAAATTATTATCTCGTAAGTTAATTTCTCTGATTTAACTGGGCGGAAAATTTTGCTCTTTCCGGCAACGGACTTTCGTCGGGGAACAACGCGAATCGGTTTCCGGATGTTGCGTCAAAGGTAATCGTGGAATTGCGATCTCGATGATTCTTGCTTCTTGCACGCGAAACGAAGAACTTTGACATCATAATTGGCCTGATTTGGCATTTAAAAAAGTTAGGTATAGATCAATAAAGAAGAGAGAGAGAGAGAAAAAAAAGCGTACAAGGCGCAACTCCTCACCAATCATAGATCTATAGCTCATGAAATATCTAACGCGATGGTATACTTCGCGGTGTCGTCGATATAATCGCGGTCGGTCGCCGAGTTGCGTGCACTATTTCTGACGGATAATTTCCCGACAATATTTATGCGGCTTGACAAAGTTATTCTTCCCGTGTTTCAGAACTCTCTCTCAGAGCTAAAGTCTGCGCGCAGTTCTTCTTTACAACTACTACATTATAGTTATGTTTCGTTGTTTTTCCACGTCGATGCCTTCTGATTTGAGCGATATCGGACTTTAAGCGAGCAACGTGACAATTAAGATACGTGACACTTTAATAAATTTGCAACGGACATAATCGATATATTATAATTGTTACATTTCTTTCGCTCGTTAGATTTTGTATCTCAATATAACTCGCAACAGGGGTGTTTTACATCCTCTCTTGTATAGTTATTGTTCTGATATCGGTATTCACACGGCACTCATGCATGTTGAATATACAAGTCACCAGATCCAAATCAAATAGCTGGCTACTTGTTTATCTCTTCTGCCTGACCTGTTTCCGCGAAATGAGCGATAGAACGTTATTTTTACAGTAACTTAAATTTAATTTAAATGATAAAGCTCTGCAAAAAAAGACTATTTGATAAAATATTGGAAAATTCATAATTATTCAATTATTCAACATAAATGGTAATTTAATAGATCCCTAAAGGATTATATAAATCGACTCATTGTCAGATTAATAAAGCATCTAATTTTACGATTGAATTATGTGTCCTACGCTGAATAAAATTGTGAGCAAGAATTTTGGCTGTCAGCTGTCTTTTTTTTAATTTTTCAAGCTCCAAAATAGCAGATGGGGGTCTGCTGGTTCCATCCACCTACGATTTCTCGTTATAACATTTTAACGAGCATACATATCGCTCGTATACGGTTTTATTTCCGGCCGAACGCATGTGTATTTCGGAATCGAGAACGAGTAAAGAGAGCAAAACGACGTACCGAGCAGCAGGAGCTTGATGTCCTTCGCCGCCTGGATGCCATCCTCCTTGAGATTCTTCTCGATCTGCTTGCTGCGAGCCAGAGCGGCTCGCTCTTCCGCGGACATGGCACAGCCCATCTTGCTACACGTTGCCTTTACAAATGCCACCCTCACGCACTTGCTCTCTCACTAGCGGCTGCTAAACGGCGCGGCCAGGTAACGGCCCCGTCGCCCCGAAGAGGGTGAAACGACCTCCCGGCGCAACTTCTTCTCCTCCAGCACCACCACCTCCCTCTTCTCTCCTCCGCCTCGTTAATCCCGTTCTCCTCGTCGCACTTTGCACTTCCCGCGGCCGCGGCCGTCGCCGTCGTCACCGCAACAACCGATACCACCACCGTCACCACAACCACCGTAAACACTTTCGCCACCGATACCACTGACACCACTACCGTCACCGGCACTACCTCCTTCACCGGCTTCACCGTCTCCTCCGCCGCCGCCTCCTCCTCCTCCTCCTCCGCCACCACCACCGCCGTCCTCCTCCTCGTCCTCGTCTTCGTCGTCTTCGTCTTCGTCGTCACCGATGGCAACCTTACTGGCGGCAACCGGCACCGAGTGGTCCCCTAACTACCTGGGCGACCGCAGCCACCCGTACGCGACCCCAACCACCGCCACACTTGCGCCGATTTAGCCGCGCGATTCAGCTACGCCTGCAAGCAGAAAGGGAGTAATCAGATAAATCCCGTTATCTTGCCCGAGAAGCACGAGGCTTCGTCAATAATTCGAATGTATATAGCGATCTGCCCAAATTTTCCAATATGCAGCAAAATGCGCTACACTGTTAAATTCGTAGTGTCAAATTATATTCAATTTCAGTCATTTTTAACCATTTCTATGTCACCACTGGTCCTAGTCAATATGTCGTTAATTTAACTAAACTAACGAAGTTAAAATAATATTATTTCTATTGTTAAAATAATAAATTTCGACACACAATAGTTAAAAATAACCAAATGTTATTTAACTCAAGGTATATTGGTTTAAATTTTATTCTTTGTATTTAACAGTGGTACGGCATGAATTGGTAGACGCATAATAGATTTTTAAGAAATTTTACACTTTGACGTTAAAAAAAATTTATTCCAAGTCTCAGATATCTCGCGGACATATTTTCAATATAAAACCAAACTAAATTAGAAAAATAATAGTTGATTCTGTATCGCGTATTGTTACATGCGATTCATGAACGATTAGAATGATTGATTACGTGTAACCGAGTCTTCGGATTAGATCGCCGATATCGGCGCATTGTTTAACCAATTCTTGTCACTACTACAAACGTATGTTTACGCCGAGAAATACGAGGAAGAAACAGACAACACTCGTTTTCGCTTTTCCAGCCAAGTATACGATCACGACTTGGCAGATCGCCCGTGTTTGATACGTTGAAAGGTTCTCGACCAATCGTCGCTGATAACGTCGTTGTTCGTCGTATCTCGTTATTATTCCTCGGCGCGAGCCGGGTAATAATTTTATTAGGCTGGCGTATCTCGTAACCGCACTCGATGTGATTTAAGACCTTGTCACCGAGCGTGAATCCGATCTAATGTCATTAGCCATGGTAAATGAAAGATCGAGTTTCACAATAATGAAAGAGAAAATGACAAATCAAAATAGACCAAACTCGCAACACTCCTCTTTCATCAATATTATTTTTATATTGTTAAATAAAAACGTGTTTTTCGTAGTTGACTCAGGCACATAAAGAAAAAAGGGCCTAAAAATATTACGTACTTGAATTCCGAAAAAAAAAAAAAAATATATATATTTCTGTAAAAGGATTCCTATAAAGAGAATTCTTTAA